GCTCGGGAACTGCCCCCTCAGCTCAACACTCCCAGTAAGTAGACTACAGTTGGGGCACGCATCAAGAGCACTGCTAACACGATGCCGTGCAGACCTACCGGCAAGACCCTCTCTACCTCCTAGACAGTCCATCGTTCGCGAGCGATCACCTCAGCCTGTGCCAGCGCTGCCACAGAGGCAATCCTCAAACGACACCTCTCGAACAAACAAACTGATCGCACCACCGCCACCGCGACGGTCAGCGTTGGACATGGGCTTCAACAACAAGGCCACTACACCTCCACCTGTGCCTTCAACTCGTCCACCAGCAGTTACATCGGATTCAGCCCCGGCTCTTGGTGCACCACCACCTGTTCCCATGTCGTCGAGACCGAATCTCAGCGCCCTCATGGCTTCCAAACCGAAACCAGGTGCTGCTCCATCAAGTTGCCTGAAGTGTCGGGACTTCTCAGGTCCAGACAATCACGCTGCGCAGTTCCCTCGTACCCAACTTCCCAACTCAGACGTGGGCTGGCTTGCTCATCAACTATGCTCGCAGTTTCCCTCACCTACAGACAAGGCTCGAGCGATCTTCACCTGGCTTCATCACAACGTCGACTACGATACTCACTCGTTCTTCAACAACACGGTTATGCCTACTACACCCGAAAAGACAATTGCATCAGGTTTGGCAGTATGCGAAGGGTATGCCGGTCTGTTCGCTGCTCTGGCTCTGAAAGCTGGGTTGGAAGCTATGGTATGTTCCGGTGCGTGTAAGGGCTACGGTCACGCACCTTTGGAGCCTGGTCAACCTACACCACCTTATGAATCGACACATGCCTGGAACGCCGTCAAGATCGATAACGGTGAATGGAAGCTTATTGATCCCTGTTGGGGAGCTGGACACCTAGGGTGTAGTAAAAAGGGCGAAGGGTAAGCTTTTCGAGATGATACTTCTTTCCTGTTCACCACCCGTCGAACAAGGGCTAACATTCACTAGATACGTACGAGCCTTTGCTCCGCAGCATTTCGTCATGGACAACAACGAGTTCGGTTTGAAGCACTACCCCGGAGAAGCCTCTCACCAGTTCCGCACCGACGGACGCATCATGTCATACGAAGAGTTCATGCGACATGACGAGGGCGGGCGCCTCTTCCTCTGCGGCAATGGCATGAAGCTCCACGGCTTCGGCGAGCAAACATTTGAACCATCACAAGCCAGAATCAAAGTAAACGACCCCTACGCACCGGCAGTAGTCCGGTTCCAAATGTCATTCATCTGCCCGCACTGGGATCCCCAGATCAACGGAAAGGGTCCGCCCTACATTATGCTCCTAAGCGTTGCCGGCAGAGACGGCCGGAAGCCAGACTACAAGCCGTTGAACACCGACGGGCGCACTTGGTGGCTCGACTTTCCGCGCATGGACCTCGGTGCGCCGGGCCAGAAGATTTCGATTGTGGCCGTAACAGAATTTAATAAGAAGGACGCACGTGGGTTGAGCCTGGCTACTTGGAATAATAAGAGGGCATACTCGTGCATGTTTGGCAGTGTGGCCTCGTGGGTGCTTGTTTGATGCGGAGCTGGGAATGTCGCGTTATCTCAATCGAGGCGCACGCGACTTGCGCCTCGTGGTTGATGGAGCGCGATGAGATGGAACGATTGTATGGATACCCTGGACTTTTTGATTTGCTTTTAGGTGATGAGGCGGGCTTAGTTAGATGAAAACGCGTAATGAGCATGAGTTATTATTCCTTTCGTCTCCTTTTCATGTGTACGTCATTCCTGGGAAAGTTGAGCGCGTGCCTGGCTGGGTACTATGACAGAGAGAAGATACACCATAAGTCTAGATTGCTCTCACACATTCCACAAGATCCTGCATCTCAAGCTCTTGTAGTCTTTACCCCCTATCCGCTTTTGTTTGTTTTCTTCCATGTGCAGGGTACCTTGGCGCAACTTGTAACCGGGTGTCCCTTTTATGCTGAGCATGTGAAGACGGCCGTTGAGGCTAGACTGTGGCGGACGACTGCGTTAGCGCGAAAGCACGACCCGCGAAATAGTTAGGTTGGGGTTACAACGGACTCGGGATCACCGCTCCACCTCCAACACGTCCGATCTACCGCAAACATGGCGAGCGCTTTCGTCGGATTGTCGGTCGCCGTCACGCTGCAGTCTCCCCCAGGTGCTGTCGTCGTGGGCGTGGTCAGCGCCGTGGACCAGCAGACAGCTACACTCGTTCTCCAAGATGGTACACCGCAGCCAGAATTCGTGAATATGGGCATACGCTGACGTCTGCAGTCTTCTTCCCAAACTCGGGTCACCGTGTCGCTTCCTACACGGTAGAGGGACAAATGATTGCAGACATCAAGGTCAATCCGTCGCCGCCCGCTCCTCCCCAACCTCTGCCCACACGATCAGGCCCGCAGGCATACTCACACTCGCAGTATCCTCCAAACCATGCCCCGCGCCAGTCGCAGCACATGGGCCAACAATTTCCGCATCTTGTTAGCCAGCCGTCCGGGATCCCGCCTGCAGGCGCACCTGCCTACCAGAATGCTCGTCAAGCGCCTCGCCAGACCGCTCCTCAGCCAGCTCAATCCGCGCCGTTTGTCGATCCTGCGATTCTCAGTATGGGAAAGCGCACTTCTACCGCCCCTATCTTGGGTGGTCCTGTTTCCGCAACCCCCCAGGAAGCCCCTGCGACGCCTATAAAGCCCGTGGCTGCTGCGAGCGCGGCGGCTGTACCGAAGAACACGTCCTCGTTTGCAGGCCATGCGAAGCAACACAACGTCCGAAAGCCGAGTGCTGCGACTTTGGAAGGTCCATTCTCGTCCCTGGATATTGCAGATGCCGAGGAGGCGGACAGTGAGGCGCGAACAGCACAGGTGAATGCGCGAAGGGCAAGCATCACCAAGACCAGGACCGGCAAGCCTATGGATGACCCCAGCCCGCAGAAGAACGACGACAATGGCAAGAAGACTCGAAGAGGGGGCAAGTCTCGTAAGAAGGAACTTGCCGCTCAAGAGAGGAAGAACGGTGACGTTGAGGCGGTCAAGAAAGGGTATGTGGGATTCTGGATTCCATGTCTCTTGTCGCATATTCAAGAGCTAACATATACTAGCAAAAGCAATGGTTGGAGAAACACTCCCATGCTACAAGCCGCCGAACAGCCCCAAACGAGAACCCCTGGAGTCATCGGCGGCAGAGTCGGTCTCGCAGCGGCGAACGCGTCGAATCGCAAAACGAAACGGCAACAGGCGCTCGAAGCTACGAACGGCTGGGCTACGGAAGACGCGACCGATATCCAGGACATGCCTGAGTTCGACTTCCAGAGTAACCTCTCGAAGTTTGACAAGCGTACGGTGTTCAATCAGATTAGGAACGAGGACACCACTGCAGACGAGGATCGCCTGGTCAGCTTCAATCGCTTGGCAAGACCTGGTACACACGGCGGAAAGAACCTTCATCCTACGGAAAACGTGTTGGATCGGAAGCTGAAAAGCACGACCAACACAAGCTCTGAGGAGGAAGAGGAGGACTTTGGCAGCGGACGTAACTCTAGGCGGGCAATGTCCAGGGCTTCGGTCAAGATGGCACCAACAAGGCAAGGCAGCGTACAGGCCGATATGGATATGATGGGCTCAGGCGTGTTGCCGCGCACCAATCGCTCGTTCATCAACCGACCCTACACGTCCTCACATGCTACCGGTAGCCCCAGACCAGGCCGCGTTGCTTCACCCCCAGAGTCGCCTATCGAGTCTAGCGCTAAGGGCTGCTTACGACTGGTGTCTAACAACCGCAAGTGTTTCGCTATTACTCCCGGCGCTATGCTTGCAGTTGAAGAAACTGCCGAGGTGGACTTTGGCCTCAACGAAGACATCATGGCAGAGAACTCAGGACGAGGTATCGCAGAAGTTGCTCTGACCGCTATAAATCCCGGAGGCATGCGTCTTTCGCGCGCCAATCCAAATGCCAACCCCGTTATCGTAGTCCTCGCAGGCAACCACCGCGGAGGCGCACGCGCAGTAGCAGCAGCACGGCACCTCGCCCAACGCGGGCCAAAAGTTATGGTCGCCCTCCTCGGCTTCGAACGCAACGCAGACTGGGACAAGGACATACGCCGCCAAGTCGAGCTCTTCCGCAAATTCGGCGGCACCGTCCGCTCCTGGAACGCGACTGAAGAAGCTCTAAAGCGACTTCAAGCACCACCGGAACTAATTATTGATGCTCTGCTCGGCCGCCACAAAGAATTTGAAGCTCTTGGCGACCAAGACCAACGCGTTGTACTCAATATCGTCGGCTGGGCCAATAAATCGCGAGCCGCGTGTCTCGCTGTCGAAACACCATCTGGAGTCGGCGGCTCTACGGGCGAAGTCTCCATCTTAGAAGGCGAGCCCCTCGAAGTCCGCGCAAAGTACATCGTTTGTCTCGGTGCACCACGGACCGGTCTTGTCAAAGCCCTTCAAAACGGCTCTGGACGCGATCCTCAGTGGCTTATCTGGATTGTGGACATTGGCGTTAATCGTCCTTGGCGCAACGCTGGTATCAGTGGCGGGAAGGGGATCAAGTTCGGTGAGCAATGGGTTGTGCAGGCGGTGTTTGAAGAGCCTGGTGGTATACCGGGGGCTTAGGATACCGAGGTATTACCAGCTGAAGAAACAGAAGAACCCGAGCGGAGCCCAGCAGAGCGAGAGCGAAGACGAAAGCATTATTTTGCGACGCAAACTAAAAGACTTATGGGGATGCAGTGGAGGAGTGGGTTTGACTGAGTGCGGGCGGAGATGGAATGGGTTGTTTTTGCATTGCGTGGGCGTTTGAGGTATTGATATGCGGGAGGGCTTTGGATGCTCTTTTGCTTGCATTCGGGGTTGGGGATAGGATGAATTAACGGATTATGGGCTGGGATGGGATGGGGATACCAAAAGCTAGATATCGTTGAGTAGGGAATGGCCTAGAGGCAGTGGTGTGCGTGGTTCAGCATGCTACGGTAATACATTACTTTGAAGAAGTACGTGTTGATCATCTATATCAAACGCATCTGTTTGGCCAACTGCGCCCTATCACGGTCCAGTCTAGCAACAAACCCACAAACCCTCCTCACGAGATCCTGGACTACCTCCTCCGGATCCCCATCAAGATTATGATGTGCACCCAGTATCACACCACCATCAACATCATCCACAACACCGCCGCCTTCCCGTATTATGCGCGTCCAGCGCTTGAGTAGGGCTGCTCGGTCGATGCTGGCCGGGACGTATGGGTCGTCGGATCCGAGGAGGAAGCATACCGGCGTACTCTTTGGTATCGTGCCAAATGTAGTCGCGAAGTGTCCGTCTGAGAAGTCGCTGGAGAAGTAGTCGTCATCGCCGCCTTTGGCGAGGAGGGAGTATGCGCGGTAGGCGTTGAGTGGGCCGCCCATGTCTTTGAAGACGGGATTGCTTTCTGGCGATAAGACTTCCTCGCCTTTGCCTGCGTCAACCAAGTCCTTCGCTATCGTAATCGCATCTTGTAGTTGTTTTCTTCCCTCTTCATAACTGTAGTAATCTTCCCAAGCTTCCCTATCACTTACACCACCTTGAAGGATTATACCATCCACTGCCTCTCTCTCCTTCTTCCCTTCCCCTAGTAAATACTCCATGATATCCTGACACCCCGTCGAATGTCCCATAAGCACAACTTTCTTCCCCGGCCGCAGCTTCTTGAAGTAAGACACGCATTCGCCTAATTCCTTTGCGTCGCGCATCAGGCTACCGGTGCCCCAGCCGCTGTAGGAGGAGGTGATGAGGACTTCGGCGAGTGACCAGGTCGGTGGGAGGGAGGACGCGATAAGCGAGGGGTAGGGAACGGTGAGGAGACCGTCTGTTAGGCCGCCTATCCAGAGGATGGTGTTGTAGGAGGACGACGGGTGAGTGGAGGCGTGTTCAAAGGCGATGAGACCTTTGGTGTATTTGTGGGCGGTGCCGGGGTGCGCCATCTTCGCGTTGATGGTATTGTATAGTAGATGGACGCGGAGTTGGGGATCTCGAATTGACGATTTTGTGGTTTACCAACGCGACGTGGGAACTTGGAGATGAGACGAATGGTGTGAGGACGCGATGGCTGAAGCTCGACGCGACGGGTTGGTGGGGGTGTAGATCAGAATCTTATCAGATGGTGGGGTAGCTTCGAAGCGTCCATGCCGAATATACTCCGCAAGCCCCGACTGCCCTTCCAGTCTGGCAGCCATGCACATAGCTCTTGCTTTCCCATTCTCTCATCGTGGTATTCAGCCCAGTTCAAGCCGAGCCGGGTCGCCTTGGTCCTTCGTGACTTTCAATTGCCGCTTTCGAAGATGCGCTCTCCATGTCGGATCGTCTTCGTTTGTCAATTTGCCCAAGTTACGTATAATATCTATTGTCAGTCCTGTATTTGCTGCTGCTGCTCTTGGATTGTGAGGCGAAGCACCCCAGAAGCTTTTGAGGTATTTGATTCGTACCATTGTTTTACAATGCTCGCAATGTACGCGATGGGTTTTGTGCCGCTTTTCTGCTTTGAAGGCTCCGGTCTCGGCATCGACAAGCCGGTTCATGGTGCTTTCCTCAGAGGTTTGTATGTGAAGACACGCCGTAAAATCGAGTGTCTGTAGGACTGCACGCGCTTCTGTATGTAAATCCGAGCTTTTTGCTTTCGAAAAGCTCATGGTCATGTGACTTCTCATGATATAGTCTCCAGACGTCTGATCGTACGTGACGTCACAAACGGTGAGGTAGATGTGGCTTTTCTTCAACTCTGTCTTACAAGTATAGCACTGGAGATCTACGTACATGGCGTGTATACCCCTAAGAGATACAGCTCTTTCTACCTGAGCTCTCAAGTAGTCCAGAGAGTAAGACCTGTGCGAGCATAGCTTGAGTGTAGAGGAACATTTGCGTTCCTGCCGTGGGCGACAGAGCATGCTCCCGATGAAGCGCGTATCATTATGCACATCTGCACAATAAACGCACCAGATCCCCGGTCGTTTGTGGGCTTCCCTGTAGAAGTCGTCTCTCAGAAGCCGAAGATAGACGTTGATCTTGGTATCGCCGACTTTATCTTCTGGGACAGTGACGGATGGGAAACTTTCGAAGAACTTGGCGCCTGACAGCGCAAAGCAAGTCTTCTCGGTGTGATCCAAGTACCCCCGGATATGGGCTAGGACCTCGTAGGGAAGGGCGTATAGTGGACTTCTCTTTGCATTGATTTTGTAACGTTTCTCAGCGCACGAAACGGAGGTTTCCAGCTGAGACATGATTGTTGAGGCAGGCGAGTAGTGAAAGTAAGTGTGAAGCTACATGAGATATTAAGATTCTCCCAGATGTGTGCGGGTCCATGTGGCTCCGCACAAACTTCGTGGTAGCGAAGGTACCATAGCCAGTCGAAGGCTGAGGCACTCACGGGTGTGCGCCATCTACTCACACTCTGGGTACCGCTCCGTAACTGCAATAGCGATCTAGCGGTAGGAAGGAGCGCGTCTCGCCATCTCCTCCATGAACACAAGGGCTCCGTGCCCAGTTGGCGATCATCACGGCGGCGATCGGTCATTCATGCCCAAAGTCGTATTGTTGGGTAATGAGCTCTGGGCGCGTAGGTGAGGTCCGATTGTCGAATGCCGAGATCGAAAAAGCAAGCATGGTCATATACAACTCCAGTCTCCCGGACCTGTTCCGTATGAGGCTCGTCGTAGTTTTCAATGCTTGGTGTAGGAGTGGTCGGAAGACCGAAACTTGGTACGGGATCACCCAGAAGAGGAAGCCGGCATCTATACTTGCTGACATCTCGGGGTTCGGGGGAAGGAGCGACCCCACAGTAATGCAAAGCTACCCCTCACGCATCTGCGCAACCCCACTTAGAGCACTGGAGCTCTCCAAGTGCCTGGAAACAAGACGGAACGCGGACGCGTTTCCGTGTGGCCACAGGCTATGTCGGCATAGTCAAATGACACGAAGGAACGTTGGAATGATTGCTTGTCATCGGGTCGGGTATTGAAGGTTTCTTGGTCTTTCGTCATGCTACTTGTGCGATTTCCATCCGCTCTCTGTGCTGTCGTTCTACATCTTCTCACGTACACCATTGAGTTGGATATACAGTAATTACAATGTCATGTATGCATTCCCATCAAAACCTATGCGATTAGATAGTTAACGTACTCAGCGAGACACTTCATCCACGACCCGACACACCTCGTCAACACCGCGCTACTCAGCATCCCTCAGACGAACCCATCCGTGCAATGCGACATCAACAACAAGATCGTCTACCGCAAGAATGGCGCATCGCAAGTCAGCATAGTTTCTGGAGGTGGTAGTGGTCACGAACCCTCATTCGCATCCTTTGTCGGCGCGGGCCTTTTATCCGGAGCAGTCGCAGGTACCATCTTCGCTTCGCCAAGTGCAGAGCAGGTGCGAAGATGTATCTTGCATCGCATTCAAAAAGACAAGGGCGTCCTCGTGATTGTAATGAACTACACTGGCGATGTGCTGAACTTCGGCATGGCGGTGGAGAAAGCGCGCGCTGCTGGTATTGAAGTCGACATGGTGGTGGTCGGCGACGATGCGGGTGTAGGGCGCGCAAAGGGAGGAAAAGTCGGGCGCAGAGGTATTGCCGGAACAGTGCTGGTTCAAAAGATTGCTGGAGCGCTCGCTGCTAAAGGGTACGGACCGCACCAATATCGTGCCTGTCAGGACGATGATCACTGACGTCAGCGTAGAGCGAGTCTCAAAGACGTAACGCAGATGGCCCAGCTCGTTGCAGACAACACCGTCTCGATCGGCTCTTCACTGGCTCACGTCCACGTGCCAGGTCGCCGAGAGGCAGAGGAAGACGAGCTGGCTGAAGGCCTAGTCGAGATTGGAATGGGCATCCACAATGAAGCCGGTTCAGAGCGCAAGAAGATCGATTTACCTGGTCTTGTAAAGACGATGCTGTCGCACTGCTTGGACGTCGCCGATCAGGACCGAAGCTTCTCCAAGATCACCGACAAGGACGACGTGGTGCTACTGGTCAATAACCTGGGAGGTGTCAGTCCACTCGAGCTAAGCGGGATCACGAACGAAGTCGTCGAGCAACTCGCAGACAGCTTCAAGATCAAGCCAGTACGTATTTTAGCTGGCACCTTCATGACCAGTTTGAACGGACTGGGCTTCTCCATCAGCTTGCTTAGAGTCGCGGACGCTTCCATGCTCGAGCTGCTCGATGCGCCTGCTGAGGCAAGTGGCTGGTCTGCGGCGATTAGTAGCAGCACATGGGCGAGACGCGGCGAAGCGAAGAAAAGCGAGGAGCAGGTAGACGAAGAGGACATCCAGCCAAGTGATCTGAGAGGTAAGTACCTGCAGAGCTGCGTATGACGCCCGCTAACTTGAGTAGTCAACTATGCTCAGGCCAAGTCAACCTTGACAGTTGCGCTGAACAGACTCATCAAGGCTGAGCCAGACGTCACCCGATATGACACAATAGTTGGAGATGGCGACTGCGGAATCGGACTCAAGCGCGGCGCAGAAGGTAGGCTATCATCACGTGTGCATTGATGCCTGGCGCTGACACCCAACAGCAATTCTCAAGATGCTCGAAACGGCAAAGGAGACAGATGATCTGCTGATCCTCATGAATCACATCATTCAAGTGGTGGAACTGGCTATGGACGGCACGTCAGGTGCAATCTACGCCATCTTCTTGAATGCGCTGGCGCATGGATTGCGACAAAACGCGCCTTCGTCGCCACAGCCTGTCACACCCGCAATCTGGGCCAAGGCCCTTGACTCATCGCTCAAGGCACTCGGCAAATACACTCCTGCCAAACCCGGTGACCGAACGCTGATGGATGCCCTCTATCCGTTCGTTGAGACGCTGTCTAAGACGGAAAGTATCGACAAAGCGGCTGCGGCGGCACAAGGTGGCGCGCAAGGGACGAAGGGTATGAAAGCGAGCTTGGGGCGAACGGTCTACGTTGGAGGCGAGGGTTTCCAAGAGGTTCCGGACCCTGGCGCGCATGGCCTCGCGGAGCTCCTACTGGGCCTGAGTGACGGGTTGAAGAAGTAGAAGTTGGGGTATCGTTGTTTGATTCGTTCGGTGTTCCTCGCCGATTTCGCGACGGTTATGTAACTTTTAATTCATTCCAACTCCATTTCGTGCGCTCGATCTGGCGCTACCGTCCCAAATCCCCAGTCCTTCCAAGCTCTTATGATAGCAATACAAGAATTACCGAGTCGCCGCGTAGGAACCTATAAAAGTCAGCGCATGCGCAAATGTAGAGTGTAATTTGAACGCACAGCTTGGAGATGAAGCGGTCCTTGTTGACCTTCCTTCCGTAGCTGCCGTTGGCTAACCGTGGAGTCTCGGTCCACATCTCTTTCGCGTTCTCGAGAACCATGTTGCAATGACGGTCGAAAGCCTTGACACGTGCGAGGATCTTGCGGTTGTTTCGGCACGAGATCAGGACTTGTGTGCGCGAGCGGACGGCGGTCTGGAGGATGGAGAGGGGGCCGGTAGTGAGCTCATGTTCTTCGACCTGAGCAACTTCGTACTCGCTAGGCAACAATGTCAGTACAGGAAATGTCGTGGATTGGAGGGTGTACGTACGTCAACTCCGAACGCGGCTTGGACAGAAGCTCTCTGCGCAACGTTAGCTCATGTAGCGGTGAATGTTCTAGCAGTGATACATACTGAATCTTTGCGTCCACCATGCTGTCGATTTGTGCAAGGTAGCAGGGGGAGATTTGCTATATGGGGTCGGAACTGTTACAGGTTAACTTTCCAGCTCTCGAGCTTCTGCCTGCGAATTTTGATATACGCTGCTCAGGGAAGTAGCGCGCAAGGATGGGGCCGCGCAAAAGATATGCACAGACCAGGAGCGGAAAGACTGACCTAGTTTTAGAAAGGAGGAACACCACGGCAACGCGCTTGGATGAGGTGGATCGGTCGGCGACGATATGAGGCAGGGCGATGAAGTGAGCGAGCTTG